ATGAATACACAAACAGAAGGGCACGGGAGGACACTGAAAATAGGAGGATAGACAATCCTTGTCCGTGAAATCGAATCATGTTAGTGATTAATTAATATTTAATCTAACCAAACTTATGGTTTGAGAAAAAACTATATAATTCAATTTCAGATTTCTAAGGAGCATGAAGCATATGGTTTTGATTAAAATAATGGTGGGACCCGATTTGTCTAAGCCCTTTCAACAAGGCAATAATTGAAACCCCATTAGGCTATTTTGCCTAGTTCCTCGTATGGTAGTTTTGTGTACGTGGTGCAGCAAAATGGAAATGCCTACCATTGCCTAGGCCTTTGGAGATCCTGTGAATCGGGTGGGACCGGTCGTGGGTGGATGGGATGGGACCAAATACATGGGTCACCTTGCGTATGAGAGTAAGACCACATGGCCATGTGGTTCGATAGGCGGATACTAAAATTGCGGTATACAATAAAACAGCATGTTTGAGACTTGCTTTTATTTTGGGATTACATTTTCCTTGACTCCGTTACATAATACATATGATAATACACCGCCTTCTAAGAGTTTATTAGGGACTACTTATGTTATACTGATAAAAAAAAGGGATTACTTATATTATAAATACTTACGCTCATAAGTTGGTTTTACCATAGAGTAATATACTAACTACGTCGAAATTTTTATTAAAATTCAAGTGCTTTTTTCAAAAAAGCCTTAAGATGACTTTCCTAGAAACCGTTTCTACAACTCTGTGCACTTTTAACTTTTAAATGACATACGTTGTTAGAAACGGTTTTCTATCCTAATCATTTATATAGTATATACACACCAAGCACCAGGAAGTTGAACGTCTAATAGTAAAAGAGTGATTGCGTATATATATGTAAGACTTCAGCTCTACCAAGCTAGCTATGTGCCTAAACATATTCTTTCAGATCAATATTTGGATTTGGATAATCTGCACTCTGCCGCTAAAAAATGTTAAGAAGTCAACGTTATACTACTCTAAAAGCATATTTTAAAAAACAAATTCAATAAAGGAATGTAAAAAATCATATATATGAGGTTTCTTCTGTCACTCTCAGTACTGGATTTTCTTCAAGTAAACCCTAATTCAAATTTAACTAGGAATACAAATTAATAGTTTAAAATGATAAAGGCATGTGCATTGTGCAGTGGCTCCACTTATACGAAGATAAGTTTTCCCCCACCCTCTTTCCTTGAAATGACTAGGGAGGCATCAGTTTGGACTCAGCCTTGTTGCTTCCCATTAACAATGTCCAAGTAATAGTTGAATAAATAAATTTATAAAAATTATGGGTGACAAATTTCTAACCAAAGGCACTAAATCTCTAATGCATTGGTTAATTTGTTTCAGCAGCAGGTAGCCACGCAACTTCGTTTGTATTCCGGAGGCTTTTTGGATTCAAATTAAGTTGTACCAACAAAAGAAAATCTTGTGTGTCTTCATGTGTGTATAGATTTTTTGGATTCAAATTCAGTTGTACCAACATTAGAAAAGTTTGCATGTCATCATATGTTTGCACATGTTGACAAGGCAAAATCTCTCGTATTTAAAGAGTTAAGAGGATAAAAAGAGGTTTCATGCAATTGGAACACCAATTTGGTAGCATTATAAACCAATTATACACTTACCATTTATTTTAACCTTTTCATATAGTAATGTATGTACGACTTTAAATATTGTATTGTCGTCAACATGATATCCCAAGTTCATAGAAGTTGTTCTCCTAAAAGGGTAAACATCTGATCTGATTAGCTACATATAATTAACTAGCTAGCATATGTATAATGCATGCATCTGATCAGATGTTTCATAAGTCATAACTTTGTGATATCATATACAAAGACTACATGTATAAAACTGTCACTCTCTCATCTAACTTTGGTAGTTCTGATCTTTAATTAAACAGGTAATCCATATATTATTACTCATGATGAACTACTTGCCCTCAGTCAATTTTGATTTTCTTTGTAGATTATAAAATAAGAGAGAATATTAGTTTGGAGATTAGGCCAGAAGTGGAAGCAAAGCAAGATAGGGTAGTGGAAGGAAAGCAAGATTAGTGGAGGGAAGTAGGGTTTCTTTTTGGATGGTGTGTCTTACGGGATCAAGTTATGAAATATGAACCCAATTATGGATAAACCAAAGGGAAACATATGAAATCAATCAATCAAAACCAACCCACCATTTCTAAATGGCCTCATTTTTATTCCACATGCTGTTGAAAATAGCTTGATGACAGCATGCCTGGTTGGAATTGGAATTCTTCTCCCAAAAGCAGGAAAAAGGATTAGAAATTTAGAGAGAGAGAGAGAGAGAGAGAGAAGAAAGAAAGAGGAGGAGTGGGAATTAGATGAGCATGAAAGAAATCTCTATTGGTGGAAGAAGTCCACCATGAACAAGATCTTAAGAAAAGACAACGGAATAACAACACAATCTAAGAAGTTTATAAAATCTGTAACCCAAAGCTACAAAATGCGGGGTCCAGTCAGAACACCTGTCCATCCCAAATGCTTCTCTTAATTCATAAAAATAATGTTTAGATGATGACTTGATTCACCTGAAAACATATGTTTTTTGGGTAATAATATAAAAAATTAGGGTTTTGCCTGCTCTAAGAAGATATGCCCAGATCTCATCCAAGACCCTAACTAGTATATATGCTGACCTCATTGCCCACTTCTTAAATATTCCTTTGTTTAGCAACTAATCTGCCTTGCTATGTTCCTATTAAGTACATATTTTTTAGAAACATGGTCAAAATTAATACACATATTTTAATTGTGTTTTGTTGGTTTAGGATAATTAATCATTCTAATCACCAAGAAGTTTCATTTTAGTGCTGACTAATCACAAGGCTACAAAGCTACAAATCTCATAACTGTATATTAATTACATGAAAAATGCTAAGGAGATTTTCTTAAAGTAGGACTCTCCATGAATTTTCTACCACCTCATGTTTTAAACATAATATTTTAGAATATTAACACGAAAATTGACGTTAAATTGTGAGGTATTATAGAGTCCCTGCCAGCATAAAGCATCCCACTTTGCTAGTCTCTTTAAAAAAAATTCTAATTACATAATTGGTGTCCTGGAGTGGATGGGACTGGGCACCAACACCTGTAAAATAAACTATATATTCTAATGCGCTTAAAAAAAAAAAATTATTATGATTAGGGTTCTTGGGTAGATGACAATACACGAATCCACTCATGACTCATTGAGTCGTTGTAACATAATCTAAGATATTCATTTTAAGTACAGTGAAAAAGATTTTGTTGGTTGTTGCAAAGTTAATCCCCTGTTTCTTTTGAAAATTCCCATCTTTCTTTGACTTTTGTTAATTGGATGCAGTTAATTATGTTCATAGTCACTTTAATCATGGAATAAATGTTTTTAAAATGCCTCAAGTGGTGGTATATAATGGTATTTTTATATATTCTAAAGTGTGTAATTATATCACATTTTCTAGTTTGACGAATGAAAATCTAGACCTAATTAGGTCATCTCTAACTGAAGGGTCCAAAGGGCTAGAGGGTCAAAAATAGCCCGAAAATCGTCTCTAACTGAGGACTAGGCCAGAGGGTTGTGGAATCTGAGAGGGCCCCACGGAATCGAAAATGGCCAAAGGGCTAAAGGGCTGGCCACTTCCAGCCAGCCAGCCCCAGGCTGGCCAGAATTTTTTTAAATGTGTTGGATTTCCTGTTGGTTATAACCGACAGGAATTCTTAAGAAAAAAATTCAAATGCAACGGCTAGCTGACTAGCCGTTGCATTTGAATTTTTTTTTTACAGTTTTATTATTATTATTTTTTTACAAAAATTTCCATATAACTTCTATTTTTTCCTATAACTTTTATTTTACAAAATTTGTTTCATATTTTTTTAAAATTCTATTTTTTTTCCTATAACTTCTATTTCACAAAATTTGTTTCATATTTTTTTTTAAATTATATTTTTTTTCCTATAACTTCCTAAGCCATTATACAACATTAAATTAAATTAAGTAACATGAAACAACATTAAACAATATGAAACAACATTAAATAACATTAACCAACATACAAATTATACAACATAAAAAAAACATTTAACAACATGAAACTTAAACAACATTTTTAAAAATATTTAACAACATAAAACTTAAACGCCTACTCCATGCTTCTTTTGGCTGAAAGATGTGCAACAAGATCCTGTTGTAGGTACTTATTTGTGGCACGAGAACGTATCATTCTATAGCGTCTCATGTACTCATTTATACAGATACTACCAATTCTTGGATTGAAAGGCAAATTAGGACCATCATATATTTTTGCAGCCATTCTTGACCTATTTGGATCTTCTTGGTCGTCATGCTGACGTCACTTAGCCGTTGGATTTGAATTTAAGTTGTAGTTTTTAAATAATAAATTATGTTTGGCCTTATGGCCCTTTGGCCCTCAATTGGAGACAGTTTTTTGTGACAGGGCTAAAATGAGCCATCTGGCCCTCAGCTGGAGACGGAGACAAATATGGTCATGTACTGTTCATTAAAATATTAATATCTTGGATGATCTTAGAGGGCCAGATGGCTAAAACGAGCCCTTTAACCAGCCATCGGTTGGAGATGGCCATAATTTGGTTAACACAGTTTATCCTTCTTATGCATCCAAATTCTTGAATCGCTCTCCTCATGATATAATAATTCAATTAAAATAGCGCTCGTATAAATAGATAAATAAAATAATTATACATAATTAACAATGAAAACGTCCATAAATTAATTAAAATATCGCTCAAATAAGTAAATAAATAGACTTCTTTCTTGTTTAACAATGAAAACGTAATGTCTGGAACTTTTCCAAGTGTGTATCTACTTCTACTGTTCTACATCTAACTTAATATGAAAGGGTTTAAAAAACTGATATATGCATGAGACGGCTTCTCCGATCTGACTTTTCCTTTTCTCTGTCTTTTTTATTGGCACTTGGTGTACATTTCTTAATCCCATCATGAACATTAGAAAAAACCAATATATATTGAGATGCAATAAATCGTTGGAAACCCATAGAGTTTACTATAAAAGGAGCACAAGCCAAACAACTACTCCCTACAAATCAACCACTCAAAATATCTTCCTATAGTTTTTCCTCCCCCACATTACAAAATTAGAAATGCAATCGGAAACCAATACCGTAGGAGCTTGTGCCGAGAAGAAGCTCAGGCTTTTCGGGTTTGAGCTGAATCCAAATAGGAATGAAGAAACCTCCATGAAAGGAGGACGGTCAGCAGCAGAAGGTGGTGGGGATGAAAGTGTAAATTCATCAAACTCTGTCTCACATCCGATAAAATTGGAACGATACAGAGAGAATGAGAAGAGCTCGACCAGTGAACCAGATGACAAGAAATTCGAGTGCCAATATTGCTTCAAGGAGTTTGCAAATTCGCAAGCACTAGGTGGGCATCAAAATGCACACAAAAAGGAGAGAATGAAGAAAAAAAGGCTCCAGCTTCAAGCCAGAAAAGCCAGCATCAACTATTACCTCCAGCCTTTCCAAACTTTCCACCACCATGGTTCTACGGTGGCTCCATCGTGGTTCTACGACCCCTCATCGTATCTCAATCCTGACCATCCATTCACCCTCCACGAAGAATCCCAGATCAGCTTCAACTCGTTCGATCAAAGTTATGGGCCCTCGAGCGGGTCCCACTCTCAGGTTTCCAATTGGTATTCAGTGCCACCTCAGCAGCAGTTTCCTTCTTCCCAAACGGGAGAGCAAGATCATGTTATAAACCCTAATAAGTTTACGTTAACGCAAACGGACAGGTCGGGAGAAAGCAGGCCTATCGTCTTCACGCCTTCTCCTTTATCTGCTTCAACTCAACAGAGCTGTAAACCGTTGGATCTTCAGTTAGGGCTCGGTGTGCCGTCGAAAATTCAGAGATCTTCTAGGAGTGAGGCTTAGCATGGTTCTTCTTCTTCATTACAAAAGCTGCCATTTGTTCTCAAGTAGTTTGAGATTTTTTATTTTTCATCTTCCAAAGTGAAACAAAAATATATGAACTGCATTATATATATATAACAGATCCAATTTGCTGCAAATAAAGCCATGCAGGATTTTCAGGTCCTTAATTTGCTGACAAGTGTTTGTATTGTATTAGCATTTTTTGTGTGGACAACTGTATATTAAACTTTCTGTTCTAAAGTTCTAATGTTAAAGGAATTTTCTTACCTTTATAATTTTGACATGTCGGTATGGACAAAATTCCATACTCTACTCGTTGTGTGTGTTGATTTATCTTTTTTTTTTAATTTATTTATTTTTTACTTTTTGTAGATTAGCATCCTTAAAACAGATCCAATTTTACATCGACGATTGATGACTTGGTTTCCAACTCAGCAATATTATTATTATTATTTTTTGTTGAGAAAACTCAGCAATACTATGGGTATACGACTTGAGGAGTCAACTATAGTTACAAGAATTCTTTTTATTTCATTTCAAGTGCGATGAACTTTGTTAAAAAAAAAAATGAAGCGCGATGAACTAGCTCTTGGTTCTTTAAAAGAAATTATTAATTTAGTGATTTTCTTTTTCAATGTTAGAAGTTACCCTCTCCATTAATAATAATAACGGCAAAACAAACAAACAATCATGACATCGTTTATATGAAAAAAAAAAATGAAAGAAAATTACATAATAGGCTAATAGCATAACAACAAAATTTTCGGTGTGACTGGTGTTTTGCAATTCGATCATGTTAAAACGTGCATTTGACAAATGATTTGCAAAATATTAATTTTTTTGTCCGCGATATTAGGGTAATGTTAGAAAGATTAAATTTTTAAATCAAATTTGTAAATCAAATAATGTGTTATCAATAATAAATAAACATGTTAATCAACACTTAGTTAACAATCTAATCATCTACAAACACATCATTTTATTTAAAAAATATGATCTCTTTAGCATTACCAGCGATATCATAACGTGTAAATTAATAACACCTTGTGGTAGTCAATTTTTTTGTTAGAGCATATCTAACGCATGACCTTTAGCCCAAGCTAGGAGAAGAATTAGCCCCAAATTGCAAAAAAAAGCTTTCTAACGCACCCAATCAACCTAGGCTAGTTGAGACCCAAGACTTCCTTATGAGGCCATGTTAGGTCTAGATCTTGTTCATGACTTCTTAAGATGGCAGTTAAGGACAATATATATCAGTAGCCAATAAAAATGAGCACTTAACACTTTTTAACCTTTAACCTCTTTCACAGTTAGAACAATAAAAATTTAAAAAGATAAAATTTCATGAATGATGTCAGTTTAGAAGACTAGAGATTTTATCTTTAGCCCATGATCCTTGCTTTTATGATTCGACATGTTCTTACGTGCACCCAATAATTTCTAGAAAAGCTAGGCCAACGTATGACAATTGTAGTTTTATCCCCAAATCCATTGGTTTTTTGACCCATTCCAGTAAAAGGATCAATACTCTAGAAGAGTATCATATCATGGGATGTTAAAATAACAAAGAACACTTGTCAGTCGTCTAAGTAATTAAAAGCACTTGTGTATTAACTATTTCTTAACATAAGTGTTTGTTTGAATAATCTTTTTATTAATATGAACAACTTGTTTGAATTATTCTTCTCACTCCAACAACGTTGAGGTCTTTTCTAGTGGCAAATAAAAGGCTTTGATTCGATGGATTTTTTATCAGACTAGCTATCACATTTTGTCATTGTTAATATATATACATATAAGAGATTTTTTGGTGTGCCAAACACACGGTTCGACACTAAGTGTTATACTTAATTAGTTGAAATTTTGAAAAATAAATTTCTTACCAATTGTATCATGACGTTTAATGTACCGATGTAGCAAGCCGTGTTTCTGGGACATAAAAAAGTTATCATATATATAGATGGAGTTGGATTCAAGATTACGATGAAGCTGTCCATCTCATCATATCGTATAAGTCGTAAATTAATAAAAACCAAATCCCAAAATCATGCATTCTTAATTTCTTAGTCTATTAATTAATAAAAGGAAAAGACTTGGCTGCTGAAAGATTCAGCAGCACCTCCTACTGCCAACCAATCACAGCTGGACACGTGTCCAAGTTGTAAGAAAAGACTTGGTTGCTGAAAGATTCAGCAGCACCTCCTGCTGCCAACCAATCACGGTTGGACACGTGTTCAAGTTGTAAATTTTTTAATCACAACTTGGACACGTGTCCAGCCGTGATTGGTTGGTAGCATGAGCTGCTGTTGAATCTTCAGTAGTCAAGTCTCGTTCTTAATAAATTTAAAACTGGTAGTGGTAGTCGATGGGTCTAATAAGCCTCCTCACCTAATTGATTTTTAATTGCAGATATGCTTACAATATTAGTTAAAGCAACAAATTAATTATCTATAAATTGACTTATTTGCCTTATTGATCTTAAGTATTGCAATTATGCATATAATTTTCAGTTACGTACAATTAGAAACTAAGGCTAGTACACGTCCATGCACATTGCATATAAAAACATCCACGTGAGGTGTGAATCCTTTTCCTTTTACTTTTCTTCTACTATATATATATTATGAAATGCAATTTTATATTTTAAGCACGTACGATTGAACGATTGAACATCGACTGAGTTCTTGATTTATTTACTTTTAAAATTATTTTATTTGGTTTCGAATTGTTATTTAAATTCCAAGTAATTGATTTTTCCTGGGGCATTGTCCACGTGGACCTAAATTGTTGGTTTTGTAGGCTCCATGTGTTGCACAATAGCAAACTAACAGAAAACTTGACGGAATTAAACAGTTAGGACTAAATCGATGTGTGATAGTCACTTTTAGAGACAACATTAATTGATTTTCAAATTAATGGACCAAAATAATGAAATAGATCAATTTCAATAACCATTTGCCACAAAAACCCTTACAACTATAGTACTTTGTGTGACATTTATGGCAAACAAGCCTAATTACTTAAACCAAGTTGAAAATTGCTTGAAGGATGGGTGTAGGATGAAAAGTCAAGACTCAACTTGGAATGAAATCCCAATGGGCCTCAAATCTATAAATTGGCATTATAATTGATTTGGGGCGAACAACTTTTTTTACACTATGGGCCTGGACAACTTAAACTAACTACAATTATGTTAAACTCTGAGTAGTCTTGCGAGTTTTTATTTCGGAAATATAATTTTCACACTATACACACCCTTTTTTATTTTTTGTCATGAAATTGAATAAATTAAGTGGACATAAAGGTTAGTATCAAATATGTATGAGAAACTAAAAAAATGTGTACTTATCAATTTATTTTATCTTTTTTATCTTCAGAATAAGGAAACAAAAAATCGAAAAGATAAACTAAAATGTGTGGGTAAACGATTTGTTTCATAGGATATATTTTTCCGAGCCGTCGAAATAATGGATGTGATGTAGCTAAGGATGAGAAGGCGTTACATTACATCTCTCATTTGCTCCGTCTCGCACGAATAGGCAAAGGGTCGCCCTCTTGACAGTCTGATTTCTTACAAGAAGGAAACCTTCATGCCAAATTGCCAATTGCCAAATCTCATTAAAAAAAAATGAAAAAAGGAATATTAAACACAACCAAACCAAATTTGAGAACACAATGTATGCTTCTTTCAACTCATATTCTTATGCTTGTCTTTTTCTTCGTTGCACAATAAGTTACGCTTGGCGATTCACCAACCTCGACAAAGCAAACCTAATACATAATTGTAACTAAATCACCCAAGCAAATAAATAATAAAAAAAGGTTAGTGTGCGTATAAAATAAGAAATGACACAATTTGTAGCTTAAATAGTTAAGAACATTTATCTTTATATACAAAGTCCAACGAACTGAATGTATTGTTAGATATACACATCCATGATGAAGCTGGCTGATGTTGGTTCTTATTACTTCACCTTTTACTCTCTGTCATGACAGCAAACTTCCATAACATAACTCAACATTGTTTCCATATGGAATTGAGGTGTAATAGAAATGAATGATTTTCTTACCATGCATTGCATGAGCCATGGATAATACAAGTCTGCAGTAAGCGACGGATTTATGATTTGAATTTTGGAGATTCCAATGTTAAAGATTCTAGTTTTTTAGATAAAAATATCGCAAAAAACGCACAAACAAATTTCAATTTATTCACAATGACATTTCCTCGAACACTTGATAGTCCTGGAACCACCTTAGTCTCAATGCACATCCACTCTTACCTGGAGCCACCTTCATCAAATCTTTTCTTGGCACCCAAACAACCTTTTATTGTTGCTCCCACCCCCATACTTTGCCCTAAAACAACAAAATTAAGTTTCAACAATCCTAGAATGTCTATGTATCTTGCCTGTCATATTTATGTTTTCAATCATATCGGCATTTATAATTCCAAAAATAAATAAATGAAACATTTTATTCGACCAAAAGGGTGATGATAAATTTATATATTATTATTTTCCATGTGTGAAGCAAGCGGACCATATGATGATATATGTCACACCCATTATTTCATCTGCTTTTATATGAAGGGTTCATAAATGATAATGATCATTTCCCCAGAAGGAAGAAGAATAAATAAATAAATATTTTATTAACTGTAAACGATAAGTTTTGATTTATAATAATTAGTAATATGTAAAAGTTTGAGGTCAAGTTTCTAATTCAATCCCACCGCACTGATTGCGATTTGAATAACCTTATTAGCCTTTTTAGCTTTGATTATGGTCAATGAGGCAATGATCCAACCCACCTCCCTTCGAGCCATTTTTTCAAACAAATAGGAGGTGTGTCTCCCATGCACCCCGGTGCGCAGTTTCTCATTTTTAAAATGGTCAACAGTTTTCACGTTTGTCCTCAAGGTTCTAAACTTAAATCTTCGTCTCATATTATCGTTTGTATTTAAATATAAAATTGCCATTATATGAATAAATGATGAGATTGTACATTAATGATTTATATGAATACTAATTAGCCTTTTGTTTAAGATGATTGTGATCCTTTAATTAGACAAATTTCTCCACAAAATGAATTTTATTATTGCGATGTTCAAGTCAATAAATAATAATACGCGTTTTAACTTTTTTACACGACAATGTATTATTTACTTAAAACATCACCAAAATGAAATTTTGTTGCAGGAAACTCCTTTTCCCGCTTAATTGGAGTAAATCTCAAATTTAATTAAGTAGATTCAAACTTAATTGTGATTTAT